ATAAGTGTTCTTCATATCTTTGTAGTCTTTCTTTCTCTTTTGGTATCTGTTTGTGAATGACTTGGGTGTATTTGGGATGTGAGAGTTAAACACTATAATTCCTAGACTATGTATAATTCCTAGACTAGGTGAGAGTGTTTAATTTCCTTTGAGATACTAGTGGAAGTTCTTGCCATCTTCGAACTGGATGTAGGCTACACACGGGCTGAACTAGTATAAATCCTTGTGTCTCTTGGATTTTGCTATTTTTATATTTGTCGGTCTTGTCCACCTAGTGCAATCTGCTTGCATTGTGCACAACACAATGGTGAGGGCCATATTGACATAATATTTTTTTTTTATTGTATAATTTAATTGTTATCTTCCAAATCCATAACCCACAACGCACAATAAATTACAAAGAAATAATTTGACATAAATTAAATCATTATACATTGCTCAAAAGAGAATTGAATAGCTAGTATTGGGAGATTTGCATGACTGATGGCTAATTCAATAACAAAAACGGTAAGAGAACTCAATAAATGAAAGAATAGAAAGATTGAACTTAAAAGGAAAAAATTGGAGTAAAGATAAATATAGGAAAAACTATAGAAGGAAAGAATAACAATTAACTAGAATTAAGAAAGTTCAAAGAAAAAAAAAAAAAAAAGTTTTTTAAAAAAAAACAAAAAAACAATAGTCATAGCTATCCATATCTATTTATCAACAACAAAAAAAACCCAAAAAATAAACACATACACAAATACACTTGTTGCATAAATTGGAGGAGGGTCAGCTGACACATAGTGGTGGATCCACAAAGGGGCAAGGGGGGTCAATTGACCCCCGCAAGCCTGGAATATGCCATAGGAACCCAAGAACTTGACCCCTGCAAATGCCCAGAAGGTGTTTGATTAAATGCCCCAAAGAGGGAGCAAGCAAGCTTGCTTGCTGCCCAGCGCGCGCAAGAGGAGCCCAGTGGGTAGAAGATGTTCAAGGTGTGGGAAAGAGAGGCTTTTAGGTGTTGTATCAAACTCCGGTTTGCTTCTTTCTCTGCTGGTTTGTGGAAGAGAAGTCTCTTTTGGCATTTCCATTATACTCAAACTTTTTTTTTTTTTTTTTTTTTTTTTTTGGGAAAAACTAGCTCATGGCTCAACGCATAAAATCAATAGCAGATGCGCATGGTTTTTTATTTTTAATAGGCCATGATAAGATGGGTGTTTTCTTAAAAACATAATAATAATATAATAAAAGTTCCAAAGCATAATTAATTTGTTCTGAATGCCTCGGTAAATAATGAAGTTTTTTTTCATTAAGCAAGCAAGCACACATTATTAAAATATAATAATTAAAATATTACCTCATTAAAAAACAAGTTAACATATTAAATAGAAAGAAAAAGTTTTTGACCATATATAAAGCTTTTGATCGAATATATGGAGTAAAACAAATGGATGTGTAACTCGAGGTGGAAAGTCAGAAAACAAGGAGTGAAAAACACAAAGTGGAAATCACGGAGTTTAAGTCATGTATGTACTGAGAATTTTATTTTGATTGAACCATTATCGTTGGATTAAAGAAGATAATGGGTGTGTGAGCTCAAGTGATGAGCCCCAAGAAGCGATGCGTGAAAACCCAATAGAGGATATCGAGAGGACCAAACTAAAGTCTCCTGTTGTGGAAAAATAAAGCTTTGATTTATTTACTTTAGAAGTGAATGGTCTGGTTGAATATTGTTGTTGTTTTTTTTAATGTGGACAATTGTAATATGGTTTTTTCTATTAAGAATTATAATATTATTGTTTTATTTATTTTTTGTTCTATTTTGTATAGAACTTTTTTACCTTTTACATGTTGACTCCTGCAAGGAAAATTCCTAGATCCACCACTACTGACACATGTGGGTCTTAGATGGCTCCGACATTGGGTGAGGCACTACCTGTCAGCAATTGAATACAAAATGCGTTTTCGATTAAAAGTTTTCCGTTCTTTTACTGCTGGGTTTTTTCTTGTTCAAAATTTATTGTGTACGGAAATCTGTTGACGCTCAAAAATGGTTCGGCACTTTTGAGGCCAACTTAGTGATGAGGTGTGATGGATGATGGGTGAAGGTGAGGACCTTCACCAAGTGTGTGAGGATTTGAGCAAGCGATAAACATACAGAAGACAAGATATACGTGGTTCACCCTTAATGAATGGGCTACGTCCACGGAGAAGTATATTCTCATTATTATAATATTGTGTATTTACATTTGTACATGGGGTTGGACCCAAATATAAAAGTAAGAAAGGAGAAGGCCATGACTAAATATCAAGCCCAGCCCCAAGGATCCCTTTCTAAGGGGAGAGTGGTCTCCTTTTATAGGTGAGAGGGAGCCTTTACTTCTTGTAATATTCCAATGTGGGACTCTTTGCTTTGCCTAGAGTTGCTTCTAGTTGCTTGGTCAAATATGATATAAACAGAAGTCCCCCAAGTTCTCAAGCAAGGAGGTACTCCTTGGTCGAGGACTTGCAATTTTCAGTGCATTGACCGAGCAACACCTTAGTCTTCTTCCAAGTAGTGTAGTGTCGATGGTGCCGAATGATGACGGGGTGCCGAAGGCATCGCTCTCGTCGGATGATGACAGGGTGCCGAAGGCATCTCTCGTGTCAAATGATGGGTGCCGAAGGTATCGCTCTCGTCGGATGATGACAGGGTGCCGAAGGCATCGCTTTTATCAAATGATGATGGGGTGCCGAAGGCGTCGCTTTTATCAAATAATGACAGGGTGTCGAAGGTATCTTTCTTGTCAAATGATGACGGGGGTGCCGAAGGCATCTCTCGCGTCAAATGACGGGTGCCGAAGGCAGCGCCCTCGTCGGATGATGACAGGGTGCCGAAGGCATCGCTTTTATCAAATAATGACAGGGTGCCGAAGGCATCTCTCTTGTCAAATGACGATGGGGTGCCGAAGGCATCGTTCTCGTCGGATGATGATAGGGTGCCGAAGGCATCTCTCGTGTCAAATGACGGGTGCCAAAGGCAGCGCTCTCGTCCGATGATGACAGGGTGCCGAAGGCGTCGCTCTCGTCGGATGATGGTAGGGTGCCGAAGGTGATGACGGGGTGCCGAAGGCATCGCTCTCGTCGGATGATGACAGGGTGCCGAAGGCAACTCTATGTCAAATGATGACGGGGTACCGAAGGCATTGCTCTCGTCGGATGATAGTAGGGTGCCGAAGGTGATGACGAGGTGCCGAAGGCATCGCTCTCGTCGGATGATGACAGGGTGCCGAAGGCATCTCTCTTTGTCCAACAATGACAGGGTGCTGAAGGCATCGCTATGTCAAACGATGAGGGGGTGCCGAAGGAATCGCTCTCGTCGGATGATGGCAGGGTGCCGAAGGTGACGACGAGATGCTGAAGGCATCACTCTCGTCAGATGATGACAGGGTGCCGAAGGCAACTCTATGTCAAATGATGACGGGGTGCCGAAGGCATCGCTCTTGTCGGATGATGACAGGGTGCCGAAGGCAACTCTTTTTGTCCAACAATGACAGGGTGCCGAAGGCATCGCTTGTCAAATGATGATGGGGTGCCGAAGGCATCGCTCTCGTCTAATGATGACAGGGTGCCGAAGGCATCGCTATGTCAAATGATGACGGGGTGCCGAAGGCATTGCTCTCGTCGGATGATGTAGGGTGCCGAAGGTGATGACGAGGGTGCCGAAGGCATCGCTCTCGTCGGATGATGACAGGGTGCCGAAGGCATCTCTCTTTGTCCAACAATGACAGGGTGCCGAAGGCATCGCTTTGTCAACGATGATGGGGTGCCGAAGGCATCGCTCTCGTCGGATGATGGCAGGGTGCCAAAGGCAACTCTATGTCAAATGATGACGGGGTGCCGAAGGCATCGCTCTCGTCGGATGATGGCAGGGTGCCGAAGGTGACGGCATGAAATATAAGCAAGGTGGAGGTCTTTGTTTGGCCAATTGGTTGGCTTGAAGGATGAGGTAGACATGGATGTTTCACCGATGGCATGTTGTCAATAACACCTTCCGAGCCGAATCATGAGCATGAGTCCCCACCAATCTTAGTTGGATCTTGCTGTTCGACAAGGTTCAACGGACGTAAAAATCGAAGGGTGCTCGAAAGGAGGGTGTCCGAGAGCTTTGTGAGTTTACGTTGGCTTCGAGGGGTAGTCCCATAGACGTCTGGTCGGTACCTGCCGTTCAGCAAGTTGTCGTGTAGCAAGGAGCGAGAGCCTTTGTAACCTGTTTTCACCGAAGTTGCCGTTCGGCAGAGTCTGGTAATTGGAGCTGGGCCTTCAACAAGGCTGAGCCCGCGGGTTCTTGAGTGCAGACTCGGAAGCTAGGCCGTTCGGTCTCTGACGGGGTGAGCTGAAGGCGAAACAGCTCCAACAAATTTGGAAGGTTTTGGAGCCTTGACAGGGGCTATCATTAGCTGTGAGGCATAAAGTATTGAATCGCTGATCAGCTGGAGGTCTGGGCATGATACTTAGCTCAACCATGTCCTACCGAACGGTAGGTGTATGGGTGTCTTGTCTCCTGGAGAGTGAACCACGTGAGCTTCCCATTGGATTGAAATAATGGTTGGCCTCCTTTGTCTTGACTTGGACATCTTGCATATCTTGAGCAATTGATTGATATGGTTTGCCGAAGGGTAGCTCTTGGCCTTTGAGCTTTTGTGGAAGGTCATTACCAATGGCTATTGCCGATGGCTGATAGGCTTGGATTTTCTTTTCTTTGGCGTGTAAGCCGATGATCTTTTCCAATGGCTATTGCCGATGGCTAATAGTCTTGGGTTTTCTTTGATGTAAATATGGATGTGCCGAAGGCAATCATGTTTATGGGATGATGCATATGTGTCGAAGGCAATGATGCGAATGATGATGATGTAGATGTGCCGATGGCAATGATGCGCGTGTAATGATGCGTATATGCCGAAAGGCAATGTGGTATGAGTTGTACCGCTTGGTCACTTTGTGAGTGACTGAAATATTTTGCCGAAGGCATATTTATGTTGTATCCATGTTGCACTTTGTGTGCCGTTCGGTATTTCGACCAAGTGGGTGCTTTGAGAACTGGTGGTACCGAACGGTAATATGATTTGCTAGCTACGAACAGGTGCCTTCATCCTCTGTGGGTGGTTACCGAAGACGGGGTCTATCGGTGTTGCCGTTTGGTGATGTGCCTTCAAATAAGAGTGAGAGGTAGGCCTATTGAAGCAAACTGTGAAGTTACTGTTCGGAAGCTGGTCACACGTCATGAAGATGGTGATCTCCCAAGGCTCTTGGGTGCCTTGAGCAATATCTTGGATGGGTATGCCGTTTGGTGATTAGGACAAAGACCAAACATAAGTTAGCAGACTTGGGAGCTTCTGGAGCTGCTCTTAGAGTTGCTGATCTGGAGCTTCCAGAAAAGACAAAATATAGCTGCCGCCGGAGGAGCTGCCGAACACAATTCTGAGCAATTCAGCCTTGGGGCGAGGCATGTGGGGTTTTCTTTAGCTACCGAACGGTTGGGTGTCTTGAGCAATTTGTCGGCATGGTGTACACAGCTAAAGGCTTTGATAGCCATGGGAGACTTTATTGCTCCGGTGGGTGATGACTTGCCATAAGAAATTTAGTCAAGTTGAGTTGGCGCTAAACAGCATGATGCCAATCCCTTGACTCATTGCCCACTACATGGGTATTCCATTGAATTGCCGAATGGCAATTGACATGTGTTGAACAGCACCTACACCACAAACTCATGGAAATGGACCATGTGGGTTGCCCTTTGGATTGCCATGTGGGCTTCGGTATGGGTACTCCATGCAAGCCATGCAAAAAGAAGAAGATATTTTTGGTGAATTGGAGTATTGGGCAACTACCAAATTGGAACTTTTTCAAAGTGAAGGAATCTGGACAGCTGCCATTCATATTGCTGAATGGGACTTCGCAGTGAATTATTAAATATTGCATGCTTGCAATTATGTTGAAATAATACAATATAAGAATAGGAATCTTATCTCATGGTGGAATGCACTTGGGTGCCGAAGGATTGGAACAGATTTCTGCTCCATTTTCCATGCAACGTGACAGCCGTGAAAGCCATTCAAAGCGGGGTACCGAACGGTAAGGGCTTATGAGTTGAAATGGAGGTATTGCCGAATGGCAGTTTTGAATTTTGTTGAGATGGTGCTGTCACGTTGACTTGGGCCTTTATGTGCTTTGAAGGAATTACTGACATGGGCAGCCGTCAGAAGCTTCCAAACGACAGATAAAGGGGCAAGTCCCTAGTGGATCGGTGGGGAATGGCTACCGAACGATAGTCATGCAGTTTTGCCTTTGTTCCCTTTTATTTGCCGATTATTCATATTCCAATTGGCTCTTGGATTTGAGTCTTCTGTAAGACATTTATATTGGCATATGTGAATAAAATAAGGACACAACATAAGAAATGCAGCTCTTATCTTTTGGGAGCCCACTCATCAATATTCACCAAAGGTGCCGAACGGTAAGGCATGTTAAGAGAAGCTAGGGTGGCCCACATATTTCCTCTTCTTTTGGACTATATTGCAAGGATTCGTCTTTTGCATGTTACTCTCTTGAGACACTCACAGTTACTCCATTATGGTATTGCCGTTCGGCAAGCTAGGTGATGCTGATTGTATGGGTGCCGAAGGGCACTGCCGAAGGGCACTGAAGAAGGGGAGAATGACAGAAGCTTTTTGTGTCGCTTCCTACAGACGGCGCCAAACTGTTGACGCTCAAAAATGGTTCGGCACTTTTGAGGCCAACTTAGTGATGAGGTGTGATGGATGATGGATGAGGACCTTCACCAAGTGTGAGGATTTGAGCAAGCGATAAACATACAGAAGACAAGATATACGTGGTTCACCCTTAATGAATGGGCTACGTCCACGGAGAAGTATATTCTCATTATTATAATATTGTGTATTTACATTTGTACATGGGGTTGGACCCAAATATAAAAGTAAGAAAGGAGAAGGCCATGACTAAATATCAAGCCCAGCCCCAAGGATCCCTTTCTAAGGGGAGAGTGGTCTCCTTTTATAGGTGAGGGGGAGCCTTCACTTCTTGTAATATTCCAATATGGGACTCTTTGCTTTGCCTAGAGTTGCTTCTAGTTGCTTGGTCAAATATGGTATAAACAGAAATCCCAGTCATTAACAGTTCAGATCAGACGAAAATCAACCCAAGACTTCACATTGCTTCTGCCTTAGCTAAAAGAATTTTGAGCTTTTTCTCTCAGAATCTTTGGCCATTTAGTTTGTTCGACTTTGAAATTTCAAAAGAGAATTCAAAGAAGAGAAAATTTGGGTTTTGGGTACTCAACTTTTGGCACTTGCAGATTGTCAAAGACACAGAAAGTGACGGCATTGTTGTTTTCATGTGCTTCGTCCAAATATCATCACTGTAATCTGTGTTTCCACAATGTTCTGAAACCAACTAACAAATATCCTGTTGCAATTCTTCTCGTAAAAATGAGCGGTTGCAATTATGACATTTGTTGACGCAGAAAAATGGTTCTGCACTTTCCCGCGCAACTTAGTGATTAAGTCTCTTCGGTATCTGATGTCCTCGGTAGGGTGTGCGATCTGTGAGATAGCAAACACACGGTAAATCCTAGGGCACCGGTGTGGTACCGGCCGAAGGCTCTCCGATGCTTAAGTAAGTACGGGTTTAGTAAGTTTTAACTGCAGATCAATAGGCAGTATGCCGTAAGTTCTGATTGATTACCTTCAGGCTGGGATAGGTGTCCTCTTTTATAGGCCTTGGGAGGTGTGCAATTTGTCTAGAGTTTCGATGTGGGACTCTGGGCGTCAATCGTGGAGCCGCCACGTGCCAGAGTGGGCAAGGTTGCCCTAATGTTGTGATCGGTAGGTACAGTACCGAAGGTGAGTGCCGAAGGCACACGTAGCCCTGGAATAGTCCACGTGGTTGATGTTCATTGGGTGTTCATTTTGGTATAAACAGGAGTCCCCCAAGTCCCCTTGCGAGAGTCTTCGGAAGGGGATTTGAATTCGTCCTCGGGAGGAAACACGGCCTTACCGTTCGGTAACCCCCCCGGGGGAGGGGCAAAACCCCGTTCCTTCCGGCATGACCAGTTTAGAGGCTGGCGTTGGTGAAGTCAGAAGGTCGCGTCGATCTGACGGGCGAAGTGACGTCTGAGCGCTTCGATTTCCGCACCTCGCGTGCCGTCAGTTCTCCATTGGGTGAGCGACACGTGGCGGAAATAATGATGGTGCGCGGCGCATTAATGCGCCGTTTGGTTTCTCGAGGAGTACCGTTGCCAAACACTTCCCCTATAAATAGGGATAACCCCGGATGCGCACTCACTTTGCATCTAGTGAGAAGTGAGAGCTCTGTCTGAGGCGATTTCCGACGAGAGCTAACGGTAACCAGGCGATTCCCGGCGATCCGAACGGTAGGAGAGGCGATTCCCGGCATTGCGAACGGTAGTGAAGCATCCAGAAGAGCAGATAGCGCTTATCTCCAGGGCACACCCTAAGGTACCGTTCGGCACCCTTCTCTTTACATGTTTTTTAGGGTTACGTCCTTCCTTGGTTCGAACTAGACTGACCATAGGGTTCCATTCGGTAGTCTAGTCGCCATAGGTAGCGATGTAGGAATCGGTAGGGTAGCATCCGGCATGAGCCTTAGTTTCCCTTCTTCCTGTTTTTGTAGATGTCTGATAGCGAGTCATATTCCGAGCGCGAGCCCAACGCGTTCGACGAGGAGTCGTCGGACGGTCTCTTTGACTCCGACGGTGAAGCGGCAGGGCCTGATGCCGAGGGCGGGAGTGATACCGACGTCGAGATACTCGGCGAAGGGCCCAGCTTTATCCCGACGCACGGAATCGGAAAGGGACTGATGACCGCTCCCATTCCGTTGTCTATCGTCTACAGTGACGGCCGCCACGTGGGCCTCGGTATGCCCGGGGAGGCGAGCGGTAGCCGTCAATCGGACGCCTCCACTTCCGGTCGTGGAGAGTCGGTAGCCAATCCGCCATCTGGGCCCAGGGTATCGGTAGTGTACCCAAGCAATCCCAGGGTGCCCATGGGGGTGCCGAAGGAAAACTTATTCGGCGTGGACTATCTTGGGCCGAACAAGATTACCGATCGGGAGATCGCCAAGCTTCGAGCAGAGTACCACATTCCCGAGTCGGTACGGATGAGAATTTCGGGTCCTACCGAATCCCTCAGTGCGCCGAAGGACGGCGAGGTAGTTTTCTTTACCGACGTCCTTGTGCAAGGCGTTCGGTTGCCGTTGCAGCCGGCGGTGCAGAGGATTCTAGCCCAGATCGGCTACGCCCCGGGGCAATTCAACCCCAACTTTTGGGTGGCTCTCATGGGAGTCATAACCGCCTTCGGTATTGCTGGCGAAGGGAGCCCTTCCTATGAGCAGTTCTCCCATCTGTACAGCGTTACCAAGTCCAAGTGTGCCGATCACGGCGGGTGGGTGCAGGCGAACTGCCTCAAGGCTACCGATCGAGGCCACTTCGTCAGTTGGGTACCGACTTCACAGAAGTCGTGGAGGAATCGGCGGGTGCTCCTCTCGGCGATTGGGAGTCGCCTTCGGGACAACCTGTCCGATTTCGCATTCCCACAACTTTCCAAATGGCCGGTAGGACCACGTGCCGTCGGTACCTTCTTCAGTTATCTGTCTACCGTGAGTAACGTTTCCTCTTTTCTCTTCTTTTTGTAGGTAAGCTGAAGCAGCCGATCGCAACGCAGGCCGAGATTCAGCAAGTGGAGAGGGTGAGGAGGAAAGTCCCTGCCGAGGAGAGAGGTATCCGCAGTTCCTCTTCACCAACAATCTGATCCGGGCCCAACTGATCGATCCTGCTGAGAGTAAGTACACTTCGTAATTTACAAATCGTTCCTTTTGTTCTGTTGCGGGTCTTACCGAACCCTTTCTTGCAGTGACGGAGGACCGGAGAGCTGCCGAGGGCTAAGAGGATGAACGAGTCCTCCAAACGGCGTCTTATGATGGGCTTCCAGGGGAAGAAGAAGAAAACCCAGCCGCAGGGCTCGGCACCGGTGGACCCTGAGGCCAGCAGCTGGCCGATCGCCTCCGTGAGCTTAACGCCGAATCGGCACAGACCAGAGCGGCAGCGGCCGACCCTTCTCCCCGCCGAGGCGCCACTACCGAAGGGGCTTCCTCCCGAGCGGCCGGCAAACGGCCTTTTACTGTCGATCTAGATGCCGAACCGGCCCAAAACGCGCGGACGGCAGGCCGAGCCAACCCGGGCCATCTTTGCTGCCGAAAATGACGAGGAGCCTGCCGATCCCGTCACCCTTGCGTTGTCCGTCGAAGACGGTCCAGTTCGCGAACCACATGATCATTGGTTCGCAAATGGAACTGAGCGGAATCGAGGAGCTGCCGAGGAGGCTCCTTCGGGAGGAGGCTGGTCGCGCCTTCGTCTCCAAGCATCGGTAAGTCTAGAACACTTTCAGATTCAGGTTACGATGATCTTTGAATCTTTGCTGACATGCTCGTTGTCTGCAGGCTTCGATGGACATGTGGCTCTGCATGAAGCGGGCCATCAATGCCTCTGAGAAGGCGAAGAAGGCCTACGACGACGGCAGGGCCAGGGTTGCCGAGGCTGGCAAGGCTATCCAGGACCATGCGAACCTGGTGAAGGATTTGCAAGCTGCCGAACGGCAGGTCAAGGTGTATGAGGGCCAAGTTCGCCGATTGTCGTCTGCCCTGGAGTCGGCACAGCTGTCGGCTAAGGAGGCTCTGGAGGCAAAGGATGCCGTTGCGGTGGTCTGGAGGAATCGGAGCGTGCCAAAGCATCGGAGATTGAGGCTGCCGTCCAGGAGGCCATTCGGAAGTATCGCCACTCTGCCGAATTCTCTACCTTGCTCGACAAGGAGGTGGGGCTCGGAGATGGTGGATCTCATCTACCGATTCAAGCGGTACAATCCTGGGACGAAGCTCAATCTGAATTTTATTGCCGATCTCCTCCCCTTCCCGAAGGCGTCACAGAAGAAATGATCGAAGAGTATGAGGGGGAGGACGCTCGGAAGAGCTGAAGCTGCTGGTGCCGAAGGGTGAGGGATGCCGAGGACCCTCGTCCTGACCTTTCTTCATGTAACTTTGATTTCCTGTACCCTTGTATTTTGTAAACTTTGATGCCGTTGGCATCTTTGTTTGGAGAATTAAGCCGTAGGCATTTTTCATTGAAGCAACAGGTTTTCCTTTTAGGTCTTTGAATCTTCGCTTGCATCGGTAGCGTTTTTAGGAAATTTTT